GTAATATAAAATCAATCTGAACCTTGAGAATAAATTCTTCTCCTTACTTGGGATCAATTCTCTCTGTAACAGCTGTTATAGACAACACGAACGATGATAGTTGTTTCATTATTGTATTAAGATGTTGACATTCGTGTTGGAGACGAGTAATATCTTGAAGCTGGGCTGAAATATTTAATATTATATCTCTGATGATTCAACGACATCTTTTAATTCTTCATTAAACATAATATATAGGAGAAAAAAGATAGGTACACAAGAATCTTTGCCATCTGGTCTTCGGCCAAATCTCTTAGTATTCTTTCCCAGATTATTTTTACTCATTTACAGCTGGGTCGACTGGAATTATGAGTGAAGATGACGTATTCAAGATTACCATACACCAATCAGAACCCAAATCTGTAATTTGTTTAACATAACCTAGCTAATGACGTCATATAAAGAACCAATACTCTAATCTACTGTTCTATAACACCTCACTATCTTACCTTGGTAAAGTTCCTGTTCATTACCTATTCTCTGTAAACTGTCTTCCCAATGCTACAATACAAATATTGGAATAATATTAAAATAATGTAAGAGGTTATAGGATAATCATATTACCTCTTGTAGAGTCAGACTAACTTGATTTACTACAGACATCATATTATACAGGTTTAACTTACCTCTTGTAGAGTCAGACTAACTTGATTTACTACAGACATCATATTATACAGGTTTAACTAACCTCTTGTAGAGTCAGACTAACTTGATTTACTACAGACATCATATTATACAGGTTTAACTAACCTCTTGTAGAGTCAGACTAACTTGATTTACTACAGACATCATATTATACAGGTTTAACTTACCTCTTGTAGAGTCAGACTAACTTGATTTACTACAGACATCATATTATACAGGTTTAACTAACCTCTTGTAGAGTCAGACTAACTTGATTTACTACAGACATCATATTATACAGGTTTAACTTACTTCTTGTAGAGTCAGACTAACTTGATTTACTACAGACATCATATTATAGAGGTTTAACTAACCTCTTGTAGAGTCAGACTAACTTGATTTACTACAGACATCATATTATACAGGTTTAACTAACCTCTTGTAGAGTCAGACTAACTTGATTTACTACAGACATCATATTATACAGGTTTAACTTACCTCTTGTAGAGTCAGACTAACTTGATTTACTACAGACATCATATTATACAGGTTTAACTAACCTCTTGTAGAGTCAGACTAACTTGATTTACTACAGACCTCATATTATACAGGTTTAACTAACCTCTTGTAGAGTCAGACTAACTTGATTTACTACAGACATCATATTATACAGGTTTAACTAACCTCTTGTAGAGTCAGACTAACTTGATTTACTACAGACCTCATATTATACAGGTTTAACTAACCTCTTGTAGAGTCAGACTAACTTGATTTACTACAGACATCATATTATACAGGTTTAACTTACCTCTTGTAGAGTCAGACTAACTTGATTTACTACAGACATCATATTATACAGGTTTAACTTACCTCTTGTAGAGTCAGACTAACTTGATTTACTACAGACATCATATTATACAGGTTTAACTAACCTCTTGTAGAGTCAGACTAACTTGATTTACTACAGACATCATATTATACAGGTTTAACTAACCTCTTGTAGAGTCAGACTAACTTGATTTACTACAGACCTCATATTATACAGGTTTAACTAACCTCTTGTAGAGTCAGACTAACTTGATTTACTACAGACATCATATTATACAGGTTTAACTAACCTCTTGTAGAGTCAGACTAACTTGATTTACTACAGACATCATATTATACAGGTTTAAATAACCTCTTGTAGAGTCAGACTAACTTGATTTACTACAGACATCATATTATACAGGTTTAACTAACCTCTTGTAGAGTCAGACTAACTTGATTTACTACAGACATCATATTATACAGGTTTAACTAACCTCTTGTAGAGTCAGACTAACTTGATTTACTACAGACATCATATTATACAGGTTTAACTTACCTCTTGTAGAGTAGATTGTTTATTATCTATGTTACTGTAATGATTAGCTAGGTGTTTATCTATCTCTTCTATATTACATCTTATAGTTGAAACATCATCATTCCTGGTCAGACAGCGCCGTAGGGTCAAATCTCTTTGTAATTCCTGAACTCTTATCTTTAACTTCTCACATTTTACTAACAGATCCTGGGGAAAAAAGAGATGATTAAAATTATATATGAAATGCAATATGTGGAAGCTTATGTCTGCGCCTGATTGGACAAGAGACTGCAGTGTGCAATGAAGGAAGTTGCCATGACAGCAGCATAAGGCTACTCTTTCTCAATTTGCAGCTCGGCTCAACTCACAGGGCCTCAGTTTATTGACCCAGCTGAATAACTAGAAAAGGAAACAAAGAAAATCTGGTTGAAAAATGTGAAAGGTATATTTTGCCCTATTCCAGGATTAAACCTTTGACTTTCAGCATAGTGAGCAAGAATCTCTCAATACAATTTGAATTTTAAGATCTTTTATCAAATATTTCCCTTTCCTTGCCAGTTGTAAAGTTGACAATAAAACCACCACTCACCTTATGAACCGTTTCAAATTCTTTACAGTAATCAGCAAACGGTCCCTTGGCATCAATAAACTTGACCTTTAACCCGTTGTTATTTGACCTACGTGAACTACTACCAGCGGAGTTCATTTTATAAATAACAGGAGTATTTCTTCCTTCACCTGATCCATTTCTCCTATAGACAGAAAATATCTTATTATTCAAATTGTTGAATAAATACTTTATAAATTAACAAAATTTGATAATATGCTTGATCATTAATTGTAAGGGAACCTGATGTCAGTTTATCATTCTGACAAAGAGATACAGCAAGGTAAGAGAAGTTGGTATAGCAAGCATTTGGAAGACAATATTCATACAATCTTTATCATTTGAAAAACATAAGACAAGTATATCTCCTTAGTATAATACGCAGTCTTGATCTGGAACTAGTAAAGCAAACATCTAGATGCCGGTATCACCCTAATGTAAGGCGCGGTATGCCTACCTACCCAGTATTAGTAGAAGTAGTACGTTGTATAGGAAGACTGGCATTTGAAAGACTTGATAAACCCGGTCTACTAAATAGTAACGGCTCTAAATTTCTGAAATAGGAAAAAAAAATTAAAAATTCAGTAAAGCTTTTTTTCAAATTGATGACAATTGCAATGACAGATTGCCTTTTAAAATTGAATTAATTCGAGGTGAAGAAAAGGTGCAACTCAATGCAATGTCCAATGGCACTAGCTGATTTTAAATTGAGAATATAAAGTGTATTGATTGATAGTTCATACAATCACTAGATGTTTATTCTATGTCAGCCCTACGTTATTGCATCACTGACAAGGGGGAGTAACTGGGTTGAAAATTCAGGCATCCAACTGGCTCAGTCCCACTGGTTACCCTTAATTGTACATAATAACCAACAAGTTGTTATTACACCTACTGACCTGGCGAATTGACCTTTAAAATCTGTATCTATAATACTAGTTTGTAGAGGATGGAGGGGGTGGGGCTGTCTAGTGATAGCTTTAAGTCGTCCCATCATTACCTACAATCAATACGAAAAAAATTAATTCTACAATAAAAATAATTTTAAAAAAAGAAACAATCTACTTATTTAGTATTAATTGTATCATTTTGTACCCCTGTTAGACATGAAAAGGAAAATTTTAAAAAGTTCTGTAAAATCATTCATTTAGTGGATTTGTTCTCAGAACCATATGAGTGGGGACTAAATCTTCCAATTAGTTAATTGTTTTAATCATGGGGACATGAATTACAGCCCCTGACACAAGAAATCAACAAAAATTAAATCCACAGAAATATTATGTTTTACCAGTAGCTTTTGTAAAAAGAAAGTCAATGATCTTTTTCTGATCTACTTCAAATAAAAACATAACGATATCTTTAAAAATATATCTTATGTTAGACCAATATACTTGATATCAATTAATTTCAATCAATAATATGACTTACGTAAGCTAGATCAAGAAATTCAAATCTGTTAGCAGAACTGGAGAAAGCAGCAGACGTCATAAAGTGGACATGTAACGTGGGTAATAATGTCATCAATGTATGTAACTGAGCTTTTAACTGACCCTCTTTCTCTTGAAATTGTCTGAAAATATCAATTATCATCTTGAAATTTAGTCACAAACAATCACAGAATTAATTTCTACAGTAAACTTGTCTGCCATTCGATTTACGACACAGATGGGAGCTTTGTCACCTTGTTATTGATGGGACAAAATCAAATCTCAAGATGCATTGGCTTGACTGAATTACTAAATCACTGACGGCCAGGCGGACCTGTTGTAAGTATTACAGTAACACGGTCCATGATAGGGGTTTAGTTTACTTCTTAATGAAACTTTTACAGTAAGATTTCAAGTGAAAGAAAACTCTCATTTCCCTGTTTGAATATACACAGTGAATTCCATTCTACATACTTATCAACTTCCTCCAGTAAATCTGTTTTAGTTTTGTTGATTTTTTCCATCATGGCGTCGTACATGGCCGACACGGCTGCAGCCTCACGATCTCTATTTATCTTAACTTCCTCTACCAAACCTTTTAAAGATCCAATACTCTCACTTGCTGACTTCTGGAGGTCTCGAATTGTCTGAAAATATTATTAGATCAATTTCTTTGTGTAACTTACTGAGATCATGAATTAAAATCTTTAAATCCCTCTAGAAGGCAAGAAACGCCATGCAATGAGGTGTGTAATGATGAAAATTTACCAGGACATAAATTTTAACTGTCTTGTGTTGAAAGAGTCTTGCCATCATTATAAAAAATCAAAAGAGTCCTAAGTAATACCAAAGACTTCTTCCTTTCCTCCTCCCCAAATATAAAAATAAAAAAAAGTCATACCTGTACACTCTGATCAAGTTTTTTACAGCTTTGATTATACGCTGTTTCCATATCAACACAATGAGTTCGGCTTTCACTGAAAATAATAAATCAGGTCATTCAAATATTGTCAGATTCAGAAAAATAAAACAAAGATTAAAACAAATTGATATATCCAAATAAAATTCATAAAACAAAGTTACCTCCCTCTATTGATATTCATGTCATCACAAAACTTTATTTCATAAAAAAATAAAAATAAAAAAGTTTCTAATTGTATCATTGTGGAATAGTTCGGACAATTTAAATGTATATTGTTGTCTGTAAATAGCAGTTGTCTTAAACCATTTCCTCCAAGGGGCACAACTCTAGTTAAAACCACATGTTCTTGCACAGATCATACGCACTCATAACCTGACTGTAATTATCATATAAAATGATGTACAATAGTTATTCAGTTATATTAAACATGATAAACACAATGTGAACTCAATGTTTTTGTGGAGGTACAATTATCTAGTCATCAATCATTGAGAGACAGGACTTGGTCAAATTTCCTGTGTTTTTTTCTGTAAGTCAACACACATTCCTCTCTTTAATAATAATAATAATAATAATAATAATACTTACACTCTCATATCTCGGAAACATTTAATACACAACATAATCTTCTTCTCCGAGGAGAACATGATGTATGGTTCACCATGTAGAGCTGAAAACAATAAAACAGAAAATATTCTGGTTAATTATTTTTTCCTGCTAGCATCAGTACGTCTTGTACCTTGATACCATTAGGCAATTTTCTGGTTGGAAAAATTTGTGAATTGATTGGATTGTAATTTAATGAATATGGCCAATCAGAGCCCTTGATAGAAAAACTGTAAACAACTTGGCTGTAGGTGTTTATTCTGATTCTCATGAACTTATGTTTGATTCAGTAGAACCATCGACATTTGGGTATGATCAGAAATAAAGTATGTCACATTCACCAACTTATTTCAACCTGAAACAGATTTCTGATAATTTATTTGAACTCTATTCTTTCTTGAGTTATACTATGTTGCCATTTCTAAGATGATCAACAGAAGAGGTGAATTTACGATTTGATGTTATTAAAAATAAATCATGATATCGAACACAGGTATCTAGTGACTCACTTGAACACTCTTCTTTCTATAGCCAACAATGACACCATCATACATCTGCTAACTTATTTTGACTCTATTCTAGAACTATTACCATCAAATTGGGTATGAATATAAATAAAGTTAAGTTAAAGAACTTACAGCATTTTTTATGAATATCTTTAGTACGTTTTGACAGGAGAACTATATCATGAGCACTGAACATCTTGGCTTGATGTGTGACTTCACGACACACTGTACATAGAGGTTGATTACACGTATTACAAAAATACATGTGTTCTGTTTCCTACAAAATAAAACATAGAAATTTAATAGTATGTTACTAAAAAAAATATCTAAACACTAAAATATCTAAACACTAAAATATCTAAACACTAAAATATCCAAACACTAAAATATCTAAACACTAAAATATCTAAACACTAAAATATCTAAACACTAAAATATCTAAACACTAAAATATCTAAACACTAAAATATCTAAACACTAAAATATCCAAACACTAAAATATCTAAACACTAAAATATCCAAAACACTAAAATATCCAAACACTAAAATATCTAAACACTAAAATATCTAAACACTAAAATATCTAAACACTAAAATATCCAAAATCTCAACAACAAATAGCCATAGAGCTGGGGCACCATTTCTCAAAAAAATACGAATGAAATTTTGTCAGAAGTCGTAATACTTTCTTTTTTGATTGACCAATAAGATGAAGAAATCATTTCAATTGTTTGTGAAGATAGTTCCAAGATTGAGCTTCAAAGATTTGAATACAACAAGGGGTATTCCCTAAAACTTACATTATCACAGTTAGCACATTGAGCTCTCTCATCTAGTGAAGATTCTACCATGAATTTTAATAATAAATCAGCTGCTGGGAGAGAGGCTCCATCTTTTAATGTTGTCACAGCCCTACAAATAAACATTACGCAATTCAAAATCTAAATCTCACAAGCAAGGCTGGATATTTGACATACCTTAACTTGTAGAGAATTCTTTCAACATTGCATTTTTTCAATATGAAACTGTCATTGTATGATTGCGAAAAAGGAGTTTGGATTTTTTTGTCTGAGTATGGCTGACAAGATATTTTTAACAGATAGTTCAAGCTGTTTAACTTCCAGACCAGTGCTAGTGATTATTATATTAGATTGATGCTTCAAATCATGCTGCTGAAATTTCAGTCTTTAGGATGATTAATACAAAAATATTGTCATGATACAAGATGGAATGAAGCAAAAAATCTCAATTGACTTTAAAAATCTTAGGCTTTAGTTTTTTAATGATATTTTACTCCAGGTCCAAGATCAAATTACTGAACTCTTACGACAAAAATTGTACTTACCCACATAAGGGGCAGGTCATTCTACTATCAGTACATCGCCCACGAAGACATTGGGCACAAAAACTGTGAAAACAGGCAAGAATACAGGGATCATCGTATTGTTCATTACACAGGTAACATAGTAGGGGGTTGGACTTCGATAAATCTACCAACTCAAGGTTTTCTAGGGGCTGGAAAATCTCTCCAGACATTTTGATTAAGTCTGCAGCCAGGTTTGATTTTGTTAAATTTTTCCTAGTTGATGTATTGTGGATAAACTAGCACTTCTTCATTATCGTCTGAAATAGAGTTTTACATATTTTTTCTTGAAAACTAAAGATAAATTCGAAAGTTTAAGATATAGACTACATGGACCTGTTGGAAATCAGGGATCACAGAATCGGCAATTAAAGGGGGAGGCTTAGGACAATTCTTTCCCTACAGGTATTGGACTTTTACGTTAAATGATAAAAAGTTTGTACTGAGATAAAACAAGGAAAGACAGTTAACGGAGAAAAATAGAGAAACATAGCAAATAAATGTCAAATCTCGAAAGATGAAAGTTAAAAACAAAACAAAAACTGCAAAACTGCCAAACTTCAACAAATGAATGATGAGTCATACAGCCGAGAAAAACACCTCGATTCGCATTTTATTTCAATCCATTCATTTCGTGAGGTAGCTCAACCATTTTGGAATTAGTTTAAAACACTCACTCGATCAGAAGACAATTTATATTCAACTTTATTCGCAAAACTTTCTAAACTTTTATTAACCTGCGGAGGCAGCCATCTTTGAATCAAGGGATTATTCGTGCGATTCATTGATCGAGTCTACTGGCACGGCATATTTATTGTAAGACAATCGAGACTACATCAGATGCGTTCGAGTTGCGAACTAGTTAATGCAAGAGATCCGTTGTATGGAGATCCGTTGAGGAGAATTTACCTTTTTTTAAATACTGAATTAAACTGCATAAATGAATAATGAATCATTTAATAAGTAACATAAAAGCATTCAGATATGACATCAGATAATAATTTGAAAAGTACTAACCATGGTATTAGACTGTCGATAACGTCCAATTTTGAAATCAGAGTTTTACATCCCAGTGCTTTAAATCAGCAAATGAAGTCAGCCGACACTATCAAATTGCCAAGATCATGCATTTTCTTTTTGGGATATAATGTTTAAAGGCTCTGAACATTATAAATGATCATAACATGCACAGCCTGTGGGGCTCTGGTTTATTGTCCCATCCAAACAACTCAACACTTTTGTAAATTTAGCCTTTCCAACCCTCATTGATAATATGGGGCTTGAGAAGCTATCTTGAGAAGTTATCTTGAGAGCTATCTTGAGAAGCTATCTTGAGAAGCTATCTTGAGAAACTATCTTGCGAAGCTATCTTGAGGAGCTATCTTGAGGAGCTATCTTGAGAAGTTATCTTGAGAAGCTATCTTGAGAAGCTATCTTGAGAACCATCTTGAGAAGCTATCTTGAGAAGCTATCTTGAGAAGTTATCTTGAGAAGCTATCTTGAGAAGCTATCTTGAGAAGCTATTTTGAGAAGCTATCTTGAGAAGCTATCTTGAGAAGTTATCTTGAGAAGCTATCTTGAGAAGCTATCTTGAGAAACTATCATGCGAAGCTATCTTGAGAAACTATCTTGAGAAGTTATCTTGAGAAGTTATCTTGAGAAGCTATCTTGAGAAGCTATCTTGAGAAACTATCTTGAGGAGGTATCTTGAGAAGTTATCTTGAGAAGCTATCTCGAGTTGATCTAGGAACGAGGAACCCCTACTGTTGAAATCAACAGAAATATGAATACAACTGAAGTGGAATATTTAGTTTGTTTATTTAGTATACTGGTATATAATAAAAATAATAATAATAATTCTAAGATCTAGGTCATAAAGAGTAGTGTATATTGAATTGTATAATAATATCAGAGGGATATCTTTGTCTAATTTATTCCCTTTGCAAGTCATTAAAACTTAGTTGACTTCTCCAGTCTTTATTTTGAAAGAGACCAGACCCTAGGGCCACAAAACATTTCTCATTTCTCAGTTAAGTTTTTACACAAATTCATAATGACCCTCACCACTACCAAAGATAAAATTTGAAGATTAATGTAATATTACCAGAAACATTGTACATTGTGAAATGAGTTGATATATTTTTTCTTTGATCAGTTACACACCTGTAATATGTGTTTAAAATGTAAGTAAAGTCTCAGGTAAGTATGAAAAAGGTTTGTGGCCTCATGACCTGGATGTCCACAAATTCTTTGTCAATTAACAAATATTTAGATGACTTTATCACTTAATGATAATAAATGGAATTCAATGATTTTAGTTAAATATTCAGATTTCAGAAATATTTTTCACATTTCTTAAAAAATATCTTTTGTGGTACTTTTTACTTTTAATAATATCTTAAAAAATTCATCAATTTTTTTGTGGCATATTGTAAAAACGGGACACGATATTTTGGTTAATAATACATTATATTGGTCTAGAATTTATGGCACCATTCTAGTGCTCTAGTAGTATGGTAAATTCAGAAAAATAAAAACTAGGAAAATTTAAAATGACTAGTTGAAAATACAGAAAATATTCTAAAAAGAAATATATTCTAATACTGATCTCTCTTAATATCTTCAGGAGATATTGACTCTGTGTCATTACCAGTCATGTCTGAATAAACTTTCTAAATGCCTGTCTAGGAAGTGATAAAGTTTCTTGAATTGTATTTCTAATAGCAGATTTGAAATGCATAGCTAAGATATAAAAGCATTTGTTTCTTTACCAAATTTTCAAATATCTCCGTAATATTTTGGCTTTTGAGACATTTTCAACTGATTTTTAGTGTTCACAATAAATTCATTTGTCAAGTTTGTATAAGAATAAAGAAAATTGTATGAAAAATAAAAGAAAATGTAAATATATGAATAACAATAATATCTCTATGAAGCACTTGGTGAAAAAACAAACAAAATTACAAGAAACAAAACAATCTGGGCAACTATCTGTTTCACATGGTCTAAAAATAATCAGTTTTATATTACAATAAACAAAATAATTGGTCAACAAAACTAAATTTTTATCAATCTGATGAATTTTAGTTAATTTGACTCAAAAACTAAAAAAAAAGGCACACAATTTTATTTTTGTTGTAAATATTTCAGACTGTAATTATAATTAAAACACCTAAAATTTATTTTTTATCAAAAGTGTAGAATTTCTAATGTAAATTATAAAAATCAAATCAAAATTTTTATAGAATCTGTAGCTTGCTTTGAATAATTTACATAAAGATATAACAGAACAATAATAAACAGAAAATAGAAAATAACAACATAAAATAATACAGATTGGTCCAGTTTACCCTGTAACATTTTAAAAACAACATTAATATGTTCCCCTTTAACCTTACATCAACAAAATATACTACACACATTGACTAATATATAAAAATACCTAACATTGTATACTAGTTAATGACAATGTAATTTGTTGAAACAAATCCAGTGATCTATCAGGTTCTCATAGATTCTCTGAGTTGATAAAAGTCACTTAAAGGGACAGATGCCATTTTTTTGACCAATCATACTTTAGCCTCAGAAACAGGAATTTTTTAGCTAAGCTAATCAATAATAGTGTTCACAGCTCACCATCGAAATTTGACCCTTCAAATCCATGTGTGTCCAGAATTATCTGTGTTTGAATGTTAAACTGACGACTCCTCTATTTAAGATACTCTGTGAAATATAGAACAGGCATAAATAGAAATAAACAGTAAAATTCCTAGTTTGAGATATTTTTAAAGGAATTATGTGATTTTCGTACATTTCTAGTACTTCTGAAGACTAAATTCAAGACTAAAATCAACCCTCCAAAATGGGGCACCTGTCCCTTTAAAATATACAGTTGTTCCTAGATACCACCATGTAAACAAATATTCTGAATTCACTTTCCCTGAACTGATACAAGATTATACATGTGGTTAAGGAATGATACTAATTAAGACTAATTAACTATAGTACTGTAATAATAATAATAATAATAATAATTATAAAAATAAAACATGCATACTACCCTGTAGAAGTTTACTCGAATTCAAACTTTTCAAGTTTATTCTCGTCAAAAAATATCTCTGAACATAATATAATACAGGTAAGCTTACACTACAAAAAGGAAATTGTCTAATTTTCTATTTTACCAGTTGATAGAATTCAATTTTAGATGTCTGTATCAATTTTTAGGGACAAACTTGAAAGAAAACTAATTTAAAAGTCTAGACAGAACCAAAACTTCTCTTATCCCCAAGTTGTAATCAATCGTAGATGAATCATAAGTCATATATTTATTCTGAAAGTTGTTCGGAGCAGCTAAAGTAGAGTTCTATCAGCTGGTCAGCCAGAAAATAAATTCCAGAGGATAACATCCCTTGACGTTTACAAAATACACAACAACATAAAGACTAGCTTGTAAAAACTAGTACACACAAAGTTTTGGCATGGAACTACAAATAACATTGCATATATTCTTAATCTTGTATAAATTATAAATATTTAAAGAACTGTTTATTCTTAATTCTGAATGAGAAAAAATGTTTATCTTCATAATTTTGGCTACAATTACAAATATTAAAAACACAAGATATATAGATATACTACTTCTAGTTTTATTACATTATTTCGTTTATTACGTTATTACGTTTCGAAAAACATACAGGTACATGTAATAAAACTAGAAGTAGTATATCTATATCTTGTGTTCTTAATATTTACCTGCCTATTTCTATCTGTCTTACAAAGATTATATTACAAATATGTTTGTAGAAATTGCATATTTTTACATCATTTTCTTCATAAACCTTTGGCAATATTTGTAAATTATATTTTTGGCATAGTTTGGTATGGCACAATACTTTGGTAAATAGAGGTTTGGCTTGGAACAAATAATCTTCCATTATGAATTTTGGCATCTGATGAAAATTTAGAATATTAGCATGTCATTACCAGGGCTGTTGGTTTGACAGTATTTACCAGTCATGTCTTACTAGAACTCTAGAACATTGATGTGACTGTATTTACCAGACATGTTTGACTAGAAACAGTAAATATCTAAATTTTTGGCAATTAAATATCAAACCATCAACCTTGGTCCTGATCAAATCATTACATCATAAAGATCAAACCATCAACCTTGGTCCTGATCAAATCATTACATCATAAAGATCAAACCATCAACCTTGGTCCTGATCAAATCATTACATCATAAAGATCAAACCATCAACCTTGGTCCTGATCAAATCATTACATCATAAAGATCAAACCATCAACCTTGGTCCTGATCAAATCATTACATCATAAAGATCAAACCATCAACCTTGGTCCTGATCAAATCATTACATCATAAAGATCAAACCATCAACCTTGGTCCTGATCAAATCATTACATCATAAAGATCAAACCATCAACCTTGGTCCTGATCAAATCATTACATCATAAAGTTGGTCCTGATCAAATCATTACATCATAAAGTTGGTCCTGATCAAATCATTACATCATAAAGTTGGTCCTGATCAAATCATTACATCATAAAGATCAAACTAAAACAAATCATCTTCAGTACCTTTAATAGAGTCATGTTTTTTCAAATGACGATCAAGATTCGTCTGTTGACCGAAATATCGGTCACACAGTGGACACTTAAAGGGACGTTCTTTGTTATGGATGTTTCGAATGTGGCGCTGCAAATTGGACGAAATTGAAAAGGACCTTTCACAATATTTACAGTTATAAGGCTGCTCGCCAGTATGTGTTCGCAAATGACGTGTCAAATTTGCAGAACGTGGAAAATGTTTTCCGCAATATTTACAGCAGTAACGATCTTTCATTTTATTCATATGTTTAAACTGATGATACGAATCAGATAATTTATTCGAATCTGGCGACATGAGGAAATTTTTACGTTCTGGCGGAACGGGAAGGCGTGGCACAAATTTGTTATTGCTTTTTAAAAGACGGAATTCATTATGGTTTAAGGACACCATGTGGTCTAATACTGGTCTGATTATAGGGTAGTTACCTCCCTTGCTGTGTTTCACTGTCTCGTAAATATGAGAAATTCTCGGTCGTTCTTCAACGTGAGATTTTGACAAATCCAGAGGATGATCTTTGACCTCAGATTTTAAAATTATCGTGTACATTTCTAAAAAATCAGCGTACAAATTCTGGATTTCTAATTGGCTACATTTTAAATCTAATGATTTTAAGGCAGGCAAGATTTCAGTCGCAAGAAAATAATAAAAATCTGAATCCATATTTTTGACGTCACCTGGAGAGTAGAGTTCTAAATCTGTCACAGATTTGGGATCAATGTCAAGGTCGCTATCACTCTCAAGGTCGGAATCGTCATCGAAAATTTGTTTTTCATCAGACGACAAACTTTCGCTTATCATTTCAAGACAGTCGAGAGAGATGTTGGGATCGTTGACCAAAGTCTGCAACGACATAACAACGTCAGGCAGAAATGTGTTGATCTTAGAATACGAGAGATCAGGAACTGAATACTGATTTAAGTTCATCCAATTCCATGGAAAAGGGGCACTTGATTTGTTAAGGCAAGAAACAGCAGTATCTATACCAGGGCTTAACTCCATTTTGTTTTTAAAAGAACTATCGCAGAAACGTTTGTGTTTACTCAACGAAGCGATAGTCGTGAACGATTGGTTACAATTATTACATTTTGTTTGTTGACGACAATCGGCATGCATGCGTTTATGACGACATAAATTGGAGAATTGGGTGTAGGATTTCAGACAAACTTCACAAATAAACGGCTTAACGCTGCTATGAATGTGTTGATGTTGTTTCAATCCACTTGATGTTGCGAACGTCTTCCCGCAGTCCACACAAGCATGTGACCTGGCTCCATTGTGCTGCGACCTTATATGGCGTTGTAAATTACTAGGATCTGTAAATATCTTGTCACAATTTTCACATGGGAAATGTCGAGTATCCGGGAAATTCTGAAATGAACAAAAAACATGAAGCATAAGCATACGCAGTATTTTGATAACTATTCATTTCGCATTTAATTTTACTTGGATTATTTTTAATTCACTTTGAGATAAATATATATGAGGTATGCCCCAGGGGCCCTTCACTACAAATATACAAAAGATACATTTTCAATACCTCTATCTATTGGTGAACAGGGTTCAAATGTAAGCAGAATTACTATGTTGATAGTTACTATCAATTTGTAAGATTTAAGAAATACTGGGGGCAGGTTTGTAGAAACTAACCAACTACCAACTATTCAACTGACCTTATCACTCAATGAAAACTGATTATAAGATTTACTACAATAATCTTCATCCATTTCACTAAAAATAAACATAATACATTAATATTTCATTCTTATTTATTATTACTTTACCAACAAAATTCTTTAACATAATTAACAGTTTAAAAACCCTATTTTACTTGTCAGTAAACTGCAGTCCCAAGCAGCCCTGTCCTTAGGATGGGGTCCATGGGCCTGGGCCCCAGCAAGTGAGAATTAAGTCCCAGAAAAACCTTCTTCAGTTTAGCAGAGATTGATTGATTTACAGTGTCTTTGTACAAAATGAAAAAGATTCCTTTTTGGCACCTCAAAATTGTCAGAAATGAGTTCTCTGGGCTTTAATTCTTCAAATTTTCTGAGTACAAAATCTGAGCCCCAGCACCAATTCATTCCTGGCAACAGGGCTGGTCCAAAGGTTCACTCAATCACTCAAACTCAATCTCAATCAGTCATTTCCTCAAACATCTTACTCACTGAACTTCTGGGTTTCCCTGTAGAAAGAAAGACAGGTGGTTTATAGATGGAGATTAGGGTGATTGAAGAGTAACAAGTTACTATTCAATATAAGGCACTGGTACAGGAGTTAACTTTTATATATTGATAAAAACATTTGATAATTCTGGTATATTTTGAGTACAGGATAATAATTAAATTTCACTTACTTTCTGTCTGTTTTATCATTACTGTCTTGATCCATATTTTACTTCCGGTCTTTTCATATCACACTCCTGTAACAGAAACATCAATTTTACTATTTTACTACTTTACTATTTTACTACTTTACTATTTTACTACTTTACTATTTTACTACTTTACTACTTTACTATTTTACTATTTTACTACTTTACTACTTTACTATTTTACTATTTTACTATTTTACTACTTTACTATTTTACTACTTTACTACTTTACTATTTTACTACTTTACTTTCGTTTGATAAACATCAGAAAAAAACTGCTTGTATTTATCTTAATTACAATCCATAGGTCAAAATCTTCATCACAAGAGAAAAATGTAAAATCAACCTAGAGAATAATGCTCAATCAGTAATGTATTTTTATAATCTAGATATGTTTAGCTACTTTAAGAATAACAATTGTTATTGATATAAACCTTACACACACATACAACAATATTTTAAGGTAAGGAAACAAACCAAAGCTTATGCTAATCCGGCACCTAATACAGGTAACGTTCTCAAGTGATGATCAATCAACTTTATCTACTATTTCCAGATTTTCTGTTTTTTATGACAAATTTTGTAAGGAATGATTCAAGACGTCAAAAATTATAACATAACTGTATATCACATTACATTACATTACATCCGAATTTCTAAAGCTCAAAAATACTGAGGTTTCTAGTGCGCTGTCAAAGTTTTGAGAATAATCTTTATCCATAATAATCATTAAAGAAATAAGATTTCTCTTAAAGAATTCCACAGTTCTAGATAGTTTAAATTTAATTGACAGTGAGTAGGTTTCCTAAACTTTTTGTAGGTCTATTTGGGATGAACTTTTTAGTCTGAGTGTCTTCTTCCACTAAAACAAAGTGTGTTTTATATTGTAACTATTGTAAATTTGATATAGGCTTCAATTCACAAAACTTTTAGAAAACCTTTTTACAATCCCTTTAAGAATTCAAAGACATATATTAAATAATAAAATAACATAGAAACTAACTATAAGTCAACTTGTTGATGCAAACTGTCTCTAAAACCAAAATCTAGACCAAGTCATAAAAATGGAGTCTGATTTTCCAGCAAAAAAACTATTTCTAGCTATTGAAGTAATATTAAAAGAAAGTGAAGGTGATATTTTAACTAGAGTAATATTAAAAGAAAGTGAAGGTGATATTGTAGCTAGAGTAATATTAAAAGAAAGTGAAGGTGATATTATAGCTAGAGTAATATTGAAAGAAAGTGAAGGTGATATTGTAACTAGAGTAATATTAAAAGAAAGTGAAGGTGATATTGTAACTAGAGTAATATTAAAAGAAAGTGAAGGTGATATTGTAACTAGAGTAATATTAAAAGAAAGTGAAGGTGATATTGTAAATAGAGTAATATTGAAAGAAAGTGAAGGTGATATTGTAACTAGAGTAATATTAAAAGAAAGTGAAGGTGATATTGTAACTAGAGTAATATTAAAAGAAAGTGAAGGTGATATTATTACTAGAGTAATATTAAAAGAAAGTGAAGGTGATATTGTAGGTAGAGTAATATTGAAAGAAAGTGAAGGTGATATTGTAACTAGAGTAATATTAAAAGAAAGTGAAGGTGATATTGTAACTAGAGTAATATTAAAAGAAAGTGAAGGTGATATTGTAACTAGAGTAATATTAAAAGAAAGTGAAGGTGATATTGTAGCTAGAGTAACATTAAAATAAAGTGAAAGTGATATTGTAGCTAGAGTAATATTAAAAGAAAGTGAAGGTGATATTGTAGCTAGAGTAATATTAAAAGAAAGTGAAGGTGATATTGTAGCTAGAGTAATATTAAAAGAAAGTGAAGGTGATATTGTAGCTAGAGTAATATTGAAAGAAAGTGAAGGTGATATTGTAACTAGAGTAATATTAAAAGAAAGTGAAGGTGATATTGTAACTAGAGTAATATTAAAAGAAAGTGAAGGTGATATTGTAGCTAGAGTAATATTAAAAGAAAGTGAAGGTGATATTGTAACTAGAGTAATATTAAAAGAAAGTGAAGGTGATATTGTAACTAGAGTAATATTGAAAGAAAGTGAAGGTGATATTGTAACTAGAGTAATATTAAAAGAAAGTGAAGGTGATATTGTAACTAGAGTAATATTAAAAGAAAGTGAAGGTGATATTGTAACTAGAGTAATATTAAAAGAAAGTGAAGGTGATATTGTAGCTAGAGTAATATTAAAAGAAAGTGAAGGTGATATTGTAGGTAGAGTAATATTAAAAGAAAGTGAAGGTGATATTGTAGCTAGAGTAATATTAAAAGAAAGTGAAGGTGATATTGTAACTAGAGTAATATTAAAAGAAAGTGAAGGTGATATTATAGCTAGAGTAATATTAAAAGAAAGTGAAGGTGATATTGTAGGTAGAGTAATATTAAAAGAAAGTGAAGGTGATATTATAGCTAGAGTAATATTAAAAGAAAGTGAAGGTGATATTGTAGCTAGAGTAATATTAAAAGAAAGTGAAGGTGATATTGTAACTAGAGTAATATTAAAAGAAAGTGAAGGTGATATTGTAACTAGAGTAATATTAAAAGAAAGTGAAGGTGATATTATAGCTAGAGTAATATTAAAAGAAAGTGAAGGTGATATTGTAACTAGAGTAATATTGAAAGAAAGTGAAGGTGATATTGTAACTAGAGTAATATTAAAAGAAAGTGAAGGTGATATTGTAGCTAGAGTAATATTAAAAGAAAGTGAAGGTGATATTGTAGCTAGAGTAATATTAAAAGAAAGTGAAGGTGATATTGTAACTAGAGTAATATTAAAAGAAAGTGAAGGTGATATTGTAACTAGAGTAATATTGAAAGAAAGTGAAGGTGATATTGTAACTAGAGTAATATTAAAAGAAAGTGAAGGTGATATTGTAACTAGAGTAATATTAAAAGAAAGTGAAGGTGATATTGTAGCCAGAGTAATATTAAAAGAAAGTGAAGGTGATATTGTAGCTAGAGTAATATTAAAAGAAAGTGAAGGTGATATTGTAGCTAGAGTAATATTAAAAGAAAGTGAAGGTGATATTGTAACTAGAGTAATATTAAAAGAAAGTGAAGGTGATATTGTAACTAGAGTAATATTAAAAGAAAGTGAAGGTGATATTGTAACTAGAGTAATATTAAAAGAAAGTGAAGGTGATATTGTAACTAGAGTAATATTAAAAGAAAGTGAAGGTGATATTGTAACTAGAGTAATATTAAAAGAAAGTGAAGGTGATATTGTAACTAGAGTAATATTAAAAGAAAGTGAAGGTGATATTATTACTAGAGTAATATTAAAAGAAAGTGAAGTTGATATTGTAGCTAGAGTAATATTAAAAGAAAGTGAAGGTGATATTGTAACTAGAGTAATATTAAAAGAAAGTGAAGGTGATATTGTAACTAGAGTAATATTGAAAGAAAACGAGACAATAAGCTCAATAACTATGTTCAGGTGTCAGAATAAATCAACGCTGAAAATCAATAATTCCCTTTCTTAATTACACATTAATCACAGTTCCCAGTCTTAACTTCAATATCAGGTGTCCACAGCTTAGTTTATTTACTGACAAAATAAGTTAGAATTGTAGCATATTTCAGATTTGTTATTATTAAAATTATAACTATGAGTAATAATATATTTCATAAGTTGCAGGTGGAAATCTTTGAATTTGGAAATTAAGAATTGAGGGGTTTTAGTCATTTTTATTAAAATTACGCCGATTTATTTTTTTTAAGTTGCAGTTGAAAATCTTTGGATTAAAAAATGCAGAACAGTAGGATTTCACAAATTTTTAATAATTAGAACTTCATCCTCCATCTTCAAATGCTAATATTTATATCTATAGAAAGTAGAGGTGTTCTAATGACTTGGAAAAATACCAGTTGGTCTCACATGTCATAACTAGTTAAATTAGACGAAAATTACCAGCAGAATTCCAATGAGTGACCGATCAAGAAAGGTCAAAAAGTCTTT